TGTCGTCGACGACAAGACAGGCCATGATGAAAGGAAAAGCGGCAATTCGGTTTTTTCAGTCAGGATCGGAGGGCCCGCGGCCCGCATGGACGTCCGGGCGCGATGTGCGCCGCGCCTCGTTCCTGCCGCATATTTCGCACCGTCGGTGACAAGGCAGGCCATGCTGAGACGAAGCAACGGAGACTTTGTATGGATATTTTACAGTCAGGATGGGCGGGCCGGGATTGACGGCCGCGCGTGATGCGCGCCGCGTCCCATACGTGCGCCGCGCCCCACTGCTGCCGCATTTTTCGCACCGTCGGCGACAAGGCAGGGCGTGTTGAGTGGAAAAAGCGAAGACTTTGTATGGATTTTTTAAAGTCAGGATGGGCGGGCCCAGATTGACTGCCGCGCGCGATGTGCGCCGCGCCCCGCTCCTGCCACGCTTTTCGGATCGTCGACGACAAGAAAGACGATGTTGAGAAGAACAACGGCCACTTTGTATTGATTGTTTACAGTCTGGATGGGAGGTCCCGGACTGGGTCGCTACCGGCCGGAATGCGACGTAGGTGGGGGCATATTCTAATAAGGAACAAGGATGGGGGGGGGGTTCTCTCAGGCCAGAGTCCGAACTATTATTGGAATTTGATGCGCAGTACTCGCAGACAAATACATCGTGGAGGGCCGCTCCGTACTCATCTTGGCTGTCGGGCTGATGCTTGGGGTGAGGTACTTCGTGTCTTTATTTCGAAACCCCACGGCGATCTTAATCGCCCCTCGCCGTCCTTTGACGAGGGAATGGCAGCGCGGATTGAGCGGTTCATTCTGGTGGAGGACAGAGGTGCGAGAGGCGATCAAGTTGAAAAGAGAGGAGTGGACCCGATGGCGCGAGGGCGCTCTTGGAGGAGGAGCTGCGAAGACACGTGCCTTCAGTCGGCTCGAGCCAAACTTCCAGGAGGGAACCTGCGTTACCCCTGATGGGGGGATGGCGGTATCTCTCGAGGCGAGTCTTCTACAGCGGGAAGAGTTGTGGCGGAGTGCATGGAACGCGAAGGATGAGAGGGGTCCAGGCTTGGAGTCTCCTGCCTTGGTGAGGCCGAGGTGTGCCCCCGCGCTGTTGAGGCGAATCTCATCCAAGTTCAAGAAGCAAGCCATGGCGATCGATGGGATTCACCCTCGCCACTTCTCGCTCCTGTGCGACGACTCACTCGAGGTATTAAATGGGGTACTCACGCTTGATGGATTTTATGGTGAATGCACCGTCGTATTTGCAGCAAGTCGCCATCGGCCTCGCCAGGAAGCCCCGGGTGGACAGGGGGCCAATCGGCTTTTTCACGGGCGCAGTCAGGCTGCGCGGTAAAACGGTTGCGCATCAGGCGCGACAGTGGGGACATTATATTCTTGATCATCCGCCTTTTGGCATGGGACCTGGAAGGGGGCCTCTAGCTGCGGTCTGGGGGCAGTCTGTCCAAGGAAAAGCACTTGCAAACGATTGTTTTCACATTTTATCCGCGTTGTGGGATCTACGGCAGTTCTGCGAACGCACATCGCATCATCGCCTGTGGGCAGGCGATGCGCTACATCCTCAACCAGGACAAGTGGCCGCGCAGGCTGTCTCTGGATGGTCTAGTCTCAGACGCTATCTTCCCGCGCTCGGGCAGCATTGGGGGGGCAGGGGCGGCCGCGTACGGGGCCAATGCGCATGCGATTCTGCCCGTCAGCAGCTGGCTAGAGTCAGCGGCAGATGCCGTCGAACCAGGAGCTGGGCTGGCCACACTGGAATCAACGCGGCAGCTGCGCATTTCTACGATTGTGTGAGGATGATGTATGGCAGGGCGGTTGTGCTGGCGACCCTCATTGCAGAACTGACGGGGGCGCCGCTAGCCATGGGCAAGCTGGGCGTGGCGGGAACCAGCAAAGAGCTAGCGGAGGCGCGCAGAGCGCCCCTTGGCGAGCTGGCGGGCAAAAGAGTGATATGCCCCCGAGAACCTGGGGGTAGACATCGCTCCTGGGAAACGCCGGCGGCAACCTGGACATGGCCGCGCCAGGAGGAAGCGTTTCGTTACTGCGCGCCCGAGAATCCAGAATATCATGAACATGCAGGGAGCTAGGCACCTCGAGGCGAGGGTGTACTTTGCTGGGGCTCAGGCATCTGCGACCCACGGCTGAGAAGTTCTTGGGCTCGCCCCGAAGGAGATCCACTTTCTCAGAAGATCTGGAGCGAAAGTCGTTGGATGATTTGGAGGCGCTTTGGATGTGGGGCGGGCCCTTTACCCTGGCAGGGGCCCCCTGGCCCGAGCGGGGGGGGGCCCTGAGGAGGCGCGCCGAAGTAGGGTGGCAGGCCGCTGGCCCTGATCTTATCCAAGGGGATGGTCTTGGGGCTCGAGAAGTCAGGAACGCCTTCAAAGTCTCCGCGGCTTACCTGGTGGACTTGCCGCAGACCTCTTCCTGGCCCAAGAAATCAAGCGGCCCGCTGTCTGACATGCACCCGTGGAAGATGGAGGCGGGCTGGGGGGCGATCAGCCCGGTTGTCTTCGCGGGACCTGGCGGCGCTCATCGTCATCTGACCGCCGCGCCGCCCCCTCAAGTGGCCGGATTTTCCGTGTCTGATCTCAGAAAGCACTTTTTGGAGCGCGTTGTTGCCGGGGCTCTTGGAGAGTCCACGTCTGAACGGGCCCGGGCCATCGGGGGCCGAGGACTGTGGGCCCTAGGGCCGAGGCTACTCTTCGCCAGTAAAAGTTCCCCCAGGAATTATAAGGGCTGCTGGAATAAGTTTTTACGGGGAAGTGCCCCACAGGGCGAACGCTCCGCCAGAGGGGGCGCGACGCTGACGGAGCGTGCCCGCGCTGCGGAGCACCCGACGCCATCTTTCACCATGCCTGGTCGCGCCCCTGGCTGGAGGCTGGAAGAGGGGCCCAGGGCGAGGGCGTCCGAGCGCTGGCGCTCCACCATGGGCCTGGGGACCCCCTCTTCCCCCCCCTTGGATGCCCGCCCCCCCCCGTCACCAGCAGGCCCATGCGGGGGCCAGAGGTCCATTCTTTAATGCTGCGGGGCCGTGCGAGCCATTTTTGTTTAGCAGGAAGGACCGCCATTACAGCGATGGGAGCTGCCATGGTGGAGCTTTTCCTGGGTTTGCAAGGGCGCGCTGGGCTGTTGCGGCCGTCTCCGAGACAGGAGAGCCCCTCAGAGGAATCTCGGGGCCAGTGCCAGATGGCGTCCAGCAGTCGGCCGCGGCTGCGGGGCCTCATGCAGCTTGCGTGTTCGAGCGGCATCTGGAACCGACAGCCGAGCCTGCCGCCCCCCCCCCCCCCCCCCGCCCCCCCCCCCCCCCTGCCGCCTCCCTTGGCGCCTTCCTGCGCGCCGACTGCTATGCTGTCATCTGGGGATCGGCCAATTTTGAAAGCAGCTAAGAGCCATGCATCACCCCACGCGGGGTTTTGGCGGATTTCACATAGGCCCACGTATACAGCTGTCAAGGTCAAAGCGCACAGAGACGAGGGCTGCTGCGACCAGTGCGCTTGACCTCTGCCACATCCGAGGCAACGCGTGGGCGGACCACTGCGCGAAGATAGCTGCGCAGCGCAACAACCAGTGCGTGGCTGTGATTTCAAGAGTTTCACGGATGCGAGGAAGTTGTATAAGCAGGTTGCTTTCAACATGCTCCAGATACTTGTGCGCTGTCCGCCTCTCAAGCCTCTGTTTGGGGCCCTGCCCAGGACCCAGAGGGCTCGAGGCCCCCCCCCCCCCTCCCGCGGCCCCACCCCCCAGTCTGGGACGGCCATCAGTGGATATGCCAACAGTGTCGCAGGATAGGAGCGAGGCAACTCAGGAATTCAAAATGTTTTGATTTCGCCCCGACGGTCTCTGCCCTGATAAGTAGGGTTGCCCAGCCAGACTACCCACATTCTTTGTGGGTCGGCCTGCTGGAGACCTCGGGACTGCCTGTGGTGTTTTGCGGGAGATGTGGACATATGGCAACGAACAGGGCCATCAAGCTCACAGGGCCGTGCCACCCGTCCAGCAGCCCCCAGAAGGATTTGAATAAGTTTGGGAAGGGGCTCTTTCCGGGGAGGTCAGGTCAACGTATCTCCCATCCCTGGCCCATCCATGCTCTTCCTTCTGCCCCGTAGGACCTTGGCGTCCCCCCGCTGGGCTCCTCCTTGCTCCCAAGGCAGGCGGATGATGGGCTGGCGGCGAAAACGGGCTTCCCTTCTTTTCTTGTTATGTAGTGACCGTGGTCGTGCAGGACTGACCCATCAATGTCGCAGTGTCGCAGGAAAAGGAGGAGGAAGATGAGGAGGAGGAGGGGGAGGAGGAGGAGGAGGAGGAGGAGGAGGAGGAGGAAGAGGGAGGGGGATAACGAGGGTGAGGAGGAGGAGGAAGAGGAGGAGGAGGAGGAGGACGAGGAAGAAGAGGAGGAGGAGGAGGAGGAAGAGGAAGAGGAGGACCAGTCTACTTGTCCAGCAGTGCTCGATGGTGCTGCTTTGAGGAAATCGGGCGTGATCCTGTCCAACCCCGATTGTTTGCGCTGCTTAACATTTTTTTAATAAGCGTCGCTGTCCTTGTTCGTGAAATCGCGTAGTCTAGTGTGTCTGGTGTAGTCGGTGTAGAGAGAGAGTTCCGTTGTAGTGCTCAAGTATGCCGTTGTTGTCAATGAGCGTCGCTTCTTCTTGTCGTGCGAAGTGTCCTGTGATTCGTCGCCCTGTGGAGGGCGCAATTCCGCTTGACGAGACCAGTGTTCTCGTGGTCCCTGAATATGTTGCCAAAGCTGATGCGGGAGAACAAGTTCGAAAGGCTGGATACGCTCAAGCTCGAGACTATACACATTAGCAAGCATCCGTAAACATTGTGGCTCCAGGGTGTTCGAGATTTTGGAACCAGTCGTTAATCTCATATCCCTGCTCAATTCGGGGTCTATCGCCATGCAGATCTTCGTGAAGACGCTGACGGGCAAGACCATCACGCTGGATGTGGAGGCGTCTGATACAATCGACAACGTGAAGGCGAAGATCCAGGACAAGGAGGGCATCCCTCCGGACCAGCAGCGCCTGATCTTCGCCGGTAAGCAGCTGGAGGACGGGCGCACGTTGTCGGACTATAACATCCAGAAGGAGTCCACGCTTCACCTCGTGCTGCGCCTGCGCGGAGGCATGCAGATCTTCGTGAAGACGCTGACGGGCAAGACCATCACGCTGGATGTGGAGGCGTCTGATACAATCGACAACGTGAAGGCGAAGATCCAGGACAAGGAGGGCATCCCTCCGGACCAGCAGCGCCTGATCTTCGCCGGCAAGCAGCTGGAGGACGGGCGCACGCTGTCGGACTATAACATCCAGAAGGAGTCCACGCTGCACCTCGTGCTGCGCCTGCGCGGAGGCATGCAGATCTTCGTGAAGACGCTGACAGGCAAGACCATCACGCTGGATGTGGAGGCCTCTGACACAATCGACAACGTCAAGGCGAAGATCCAGGACAAGGAGGGCATCCCTCCGGACCAGCAGCGCCTGATCTTCGCCGGCAAGCAGCTGGAGGACGGGCGCACGTTGTCGGACTATAACATCCAGAAGGAGTCCACGCTGCACCTCGTGCTGCGCCTGCGCGGAGGCATGCAGATCTTCGTGAAGACGCTGACGGGCAAGACCATCACGCTGGATGTGGAGGCCTCTGACACAATCGACAACGTGAAGGCGAAGATCCAGGACAAGGAGGGCATCCCTCCGGACCAGCAGCGCCTGATCTTCGCCGGGAAGCAGCTGGAGGACGGGCGCACGCTGTCGGACTATAACATCCAGAAGGAGTCCACGCTGCACCTCGTGCTGCGCCTGCGCGGAGGCATGCAGATCTTCGTGAAGACGCTGACGGGCAAGACCATCACGCTGGATGTGGAAGCCTCTGACACAATCGACAACGTGAAGGCGAAGATCCAGGACAAGGAGGGCATCCCTCCGGACCAGCAGCGCCTGATCTTCGCCGGCAAGCAGCTGGAGGACGGGCGCACGCTGTCGGACTATAACATCCAGAAGGAGTCCACGCTGCACCTCGTGCTGCGCCTGCGCGGAGGCATGCAGATCTTCGTGAAGACGCTGACGGGCAAGACCATCACCCTTGATGTGGAAGCCTCTGACACAATTGACAACGTGAAGGCGAAGATCCAGGACAAGGAGGGCATCCCTCCGGACCAGCAGCGCCTGATCTTTGCGGGGAAGCAGCTGGAGGACGGGCGCACGCTGTCTGACTATAACATCCAGAAGAGTCCACGCTTCACCTCGTGCTGCGCCTGCGCGGAGGCATGCAGATCTTCGTGAAGACGCTGACGGGCAAGACCATCACGCTGGATGTGGAAGCCTCTGACACAATCGACAACGTCAAGGCGAAGATCCAGGACAAGGAGGGCATCCCTCCGGACCAGCAGCGCCTGATCTTCGCGGGGAAGCAGCTGGAGGACGGGCGCACGCTGTCTGACTATAACATCCAGAAGGAGTCCACGCTTCACCTCGTGCTGCGCCTGCGCGGAGGCATGCAGATCTTCGTGAAGACGCTGACGGGCAAGACCATCACGCTGGATGTGGAGGCCTCTGATACAATCGACAACGTCAAGGCGAAGATCCAGGACAAGGAGGGCATCCCTCCGGACCAGCAGCGCCTGATCTTCGCCGGGAAGCAGCTGGAGGACGGGCGCACGCTGTCGGACTATAACATCCAGAAGGAGTCCACGCTTGCACCTCGTGCTGCGCCTGCGCGGAGGCATGCAGATCTTCGTGAAGACGCTGACGGGCAAGACCATCACGCTGGATGTGGAGGCGTCTGATACAATCGACAACGTGAAGGCGAAGATCCAGGACAAGGAGGGCATCCCTCCGGACCAGCAGCGCCTGATCTTCGCCGGCAAGCAGCTGGAGGACGGGCGCACGTTGTCGGACTATAACATCCAGAAGGAGTCCACGCTTCACCTCGTGCTGCGCCTGCGCGGAGGCATGCAGATCTTCGTGAAGACGCTGACGGGCAAGACCATCACGCTGGATGTGGAGGCGTCTGATACAATCGACAACGTGAAGGCGAAGATCCAGGACAAGGAGGGCATCCCTCCGGACCAGCAGCGCCTGATCTTCGCCGGCAAGCAGCTGGAGGACGGGCGCACGTTGTCGGACTATAACATCCAGAAGGAGTCCACGCTTCACCTCGTGCTGCGCCTGCGCGGAGGCATGTGATGCCTGCCATGTTTCAGAACACTTTTTAGGCAACATGCTAGCCATATGGCACGAATTCGCATTATGGTCAGCCTGTGTCTGATATGGTGTATGGCCTGGGGACAACGGCCCGCAGGATCTGCGACACAGCCAACAGGCTACCTAATCCCACCGGAATTCTGTGCTGCTCGGTCTGCCTCGTTCGGTCGTGGTGGTCTTCGGGATCGGGCAGTGCAGCCAGAGTGGATCCATCAGCGGCAACGTTGGGGAGGGACATGCTCAGGGGGGACGCATCGACCACCGCTCGCCAACTCATCGCCCAGCTGCGCGCGGTGTCGCTATCAGGGGCCCATCGCCGATCTATCTGCGACGCATCGCCGACTCAAGCTCGCTGTTTCCCCTCTTGAGCTGCTCCCCCCTATCGTTCGCCCTGAGTTCACAGGCGCGTTTTTGCGCATACTTTTGTTACGTGAACTGCTGCCGTCAGGCACCGCCTTGAGACACGAGACGCCATGGCTGCGTGGCATGACCCGCTGCCCCACGTCGAAAAACATCAATAACATACGAACCTGCACTGAACTCGTGTGTGCGAGAGAGAGAGAGAGAGAGAGAGAGAGCCAGACGCGGCAGGTGCAAAGCAAACCTGGCGCGTTGTCAGAAGAGAGGGGGGGAGCAGTTCAGGGGATGGCGAGGTTGAGACAACGGTAGTTGGCCTCAGGTGGCCCCTCTCGTCGCCACGGTCGGACGCAGCTAGGAAAAATGGTGCGTTAGGACGAGAGGGGTACCGGGACCGACTCGGAGCTGCCATTGTCTCAACTCGCCGTGCTTCGAGCAGCGCCCCAAACGAGTAGCTGCAGAGTGGTGGGGCAGTCTGGGAGTGGACCCGGGGCGGGGAGGGGAGATGGAGGGGAGGGAGAGGGGCTGTGCGAGGGGAGCTGGTACCTCCTCCTCCTCCTGATTTCCTGATTTCCTGACGGTGTGCTCCGCACACTGCCGCTTCCCCCAGGGCCGGGCAAAAATCAGCCTTGCGGGAGTAGAACATAGACGCGGGATGACAAGAAGGCAGAGACAGGGAGGAGGGAGAGACAGTAAAGGCAACCCATCAACATCACCAATCCTAACCTCAAGGAGGCGGCGGCTGGCGACAGGGGCCTCAGGGCCTGGCCATGGGTCCCCCTCTTGCGGGTCGCGTGGCCTTATTGGGCCACCGGCCTAGAGGGTGCCCTGAGGGTCCCCCCCCGCAGGGGTGCCCTGGAAGTCTGAGGACAGGTGCGGAAGAGGGAAGGCGTTGGCGGCTGGCTGACACAGGGTCGCAGGAGACAAGTGGAGATACAGAGGATTGAAACGGGGAGGTGGGTGTGGCTAGGTTGCAGCAGCGGTTGGCGGCGGGCGGGTGGCGGTGGCAGCGCCTCTCTCTCAGCTCACAGGACTGGTCCCCCCCCCCAGACTCCCCTGGGGTCAAAGGCGGGATCCCTCGCTTGTAAACAGGCGTAGGCCTCCCAGCACACTGACCCTGGGACCGCCTGGGGTGGGCTCCACCGAGCGGGAGGGAGGTTTGTGCCCCCCGGGCGGTGGCGGGGCCTCCCACTCTCGCCGAGGGTGGCAGGGGCCCCTCTCGCCAGGGTGGATGGCATAAAGGCCTGGATTTTTCCGTCGAGCATATCTTTTTTATTAAAGCTTGAAGTTGGATTTTTGGAAAATGCCGGCGAAATCCATTCACCCCCAGCATATGGGAAACCCCCCAAGCGTCCACCACCCCCATAGAGGCTTCTGGAGCCGTCTTGGGGACATCTTGGGCGTCTCGTAGCGATCGTTCGGCGACTCGGGATCCTTTTGTGGCCCATTTTGGGGCCCGCCTGGGCGAGGGGGCCGTTCTGGAGTGAGCTGGAGCTCCGATTCTGCCCCGGGAGTTAAATCGACCCCCCCCCCTCCCCCTATCCCGTCAGAGCCACCCCGTCACCCACCCCCCAGGAGAAGCTCAGCAGTTGAGGCTCGGGCTGTTCTGGCATGATCTTGATCTTTTTGGTGTTGAGGAGCCGTGGCCAGAGACTCGTGCCTCGACAATCTGTATTTGCGCTGTCGCCGTGTCTGCTGCTTGTTGGAAGGTTGTAGTGGCATATGCATCTCCTTCTCCTCCTTCTCCTCCCCCATCGCTTCCTTCCTCCCTTCTCCTCCCTCCCTCTTGCCCCTCCCTCTCTCCTCTCCTCGGCCTAATCTTCTGCAGCCCCTTCCCTCCTTCCCACTCCAGCTCGCAGGGACAGACGAAGGAAAATATCGGCACTCAATGAATTCTCGAATATTTTTGGGAACCTTGAGGCGGGTTCAATGCAAGCGGAGGTCAGCCGGAACGCTGGATCTTGCAGGACCCTGCAGAGCCAGGTTTGCATTGACCCGGGTTGGCGCGCAGAATCCTGCAGAATCCCCCGGAGTTTGCAGGATCCTGCAAGGCCCGACTGGCCCTGGTTTGCGTTGGCCCGGGTCGGTAGATCCCCGATCCAAGAAGTCCGCGCAGACCTCTGCGAAGTTATGCTTCGGCAGCTCGTTGTTGCCCATGGACGGTCCGAGGGACAGGAAATTCCCCCCCCGTGGGCGCCAGAAGCTGCGAGAGCAGTTTGCCTCGGCAGTCAGTTATGCTTCGGCAGTCCGGTATGCTTCGGCGCCAGAAGTTTGCGAGAGCAGTTTGCCTCGGCAGTCAGTTAGACCTCTGCGAAGTTATGCTTTGGCAGTCTGTCGTTGCCCTGTGGACGGCCCGAGGGACAGGAAATTACCCCCCCGTGGGCGCCAGAAGTTGCGAGCGCCCCTGCCGCGGTTTCCTCCCGGGTCGGCGGAGGCGTGGGGCCCCAGGGGTCTCCAGAGGTCGAGGGGTCTTTTCGCACGTCCTTGGCCTCTGGGAGGTCTCCGAGGAGGAGGAGGAGGAGGAGGAGGAGGAGGAGGAGGAGGAGGAGGAGGAGGAGGAGGAGGAGGCGGAGGAGGCGGATGCGGAGGCGGAGGCGGAGGC